ACAATTTCTTCTTTGAACGATCGTTTATGTTTTTGTTTTTTTTTTTTTCTGCCAAACGCGCGTGTATATACTGAGTTACTTGAGAAAAATCGTTCTGGATATAGTGAGTAAGCTGACGTTCATAGTTCGATGAGTAACGCTGGCATGTCGAGAGATGATTTGTTCAAATAACCTGCATAATGGAGACGGAACGTTGATGTTATTATTTCAAGTATGGTAGGCATAAAGCATCGAAGTGTACTCTCACTTCGCGTATATGGGAATAATTAGCATGTATATGTATCAAACTTTCCATCAGCTAATTTGCATGGACATGGAAAAAAAAACCCGCGTATCTGACATTTAATTGTGACACGCTAGACCGCGGTGCCGTAAATATGCGAAACCTGAGCAGGATATCTAGGAAAGCGGGCTCCTGTACGCTTCTGAACTGGATCACATTGCGCGGGAAACATGAAAAATAAATCTCGGTAACCAGTTTGACGACAATAAACAAAAGTGGTCCATGCAGTGAAAAATTTATCGATCAATTTTTAAATAATAGTGAAATATAATATTGAACTATAATCGATATTTTTATTTAAATATTTTATTTTTATTCACTTTAATTGTAAATTTCATTAGTTGGTACTTTAATAATTTAATGACTCTTCTCTTTTTTTCTTTTATCTTCTTTTATCTTTTATGAGTGTTTGCCTTCTTTTCTTCCGTGTACTTTGTTGCTTCATATTTTATCTTATTTTATCCCTTTATCTCTATGTTTCTTCTTCACTTTATTGGCCCTTATACGCAGTTTTCGTAATATTGCAATATAAAAACTTGAGAGAAACATATTGCATTGCAATTTTTTTCTCTTATTTTCGTAATTCTCATTTATCACTATAGTTAGTAGGAATTAAATTCGCAAATTTTCTGTGCAATCGGTTGCACTAAGGAAAATAATCATTTCCTCATTTTTTCAATTTTCTCAAAGTACGTTTTTAGAAAAATTAAAATAATTAGAATAACTATCTGCAGAATTCAATCGAATTTCATTCGAAACAAATTCAGTAAGTGAAACATATAATTATTTACACATCAGCTAGTAGAATTACAATTTCATTTAAATTTACTTTGTTTTCTAAAAAATGTATATACTATTACTATTAGAAAACTATTATGATTTTGCAATAAATTTTCTAAACATTGGATAACAATTTACTATAAAACGTGTGATTTATAAAACATAAGTGAATTTCTGCAAAAATTGATCTTCACTCTTCTATCCTGTTGATCTGTCCAAATTTTTAACTGCAAAATAAATTTTCTAAATATTACTGGGTAACAATTTACTATAAAGCAAACAAATTTCTGTAAACATTGATCTTCACTCTCCTATCCTGTTGATCTGTTCAAATTTTTTGCAAAAGATATTTGCTTTCAAATCGAACACCCTGTAGATACCCCAGTGCGGACATACATACAGATTCCTACTTTTTCCACGTCACATATCATGATGCGTGTACTTAGTAAATACTGTGTAACAGTTAAGCGCAACAATTCCCCCATTACCCATTATTTGTGTATTCATAAATTCAAACCGCACGATATTATACTCGATTTCTGTTGGCGCATTAATGAGAATTATTATCCCGCTGGATGTTATACTGTATTCTGTTACTTCGCGATTGCCTCATACCAGCGTTCGTCATCCGCGTGCATCTTGATACGCGAAACAGCATTAAAATGCGATGTAACAATTGGCGCTGTCGTTCGTGGATCGAAGCGACGAGCATTGCTATTCTCTTCGAGAAAAGAACCGTTGATAATAGAGACTAAGCGATGTGGAAAACGATGGACAGTGTTAGAAAAAAAAATTTTTTTAAATTTCATTCAATTATCAGCCAACGTGTTGATTTACTTGCAAATGTTAATTACGAAAATTGATCTACGGTTTAAATAAATTTTTAAAAAACTGGGTAATTGTTGGATTACTTCTTAGAGTACGCGGATAATTGTTTCTCGGATTGAAAAATAGAAATCAGTTATAGAACTGATCTTTGATTTCGAAGAAAAGTCGTAAAATCGGAGTCGAATTTTTTTCTCTCGATCGTTAATTGGCGCAGATATCAAGGTTATTCTCCTCTTCTTTTTTCTTCTTCTTTCTCTTATAGGAGAAATTATAGGCGCTTGTTAAATGTGTTTTATAGTGCATTGCGGGTTGAATGTAACCAGCGAGGCAATAAAGGTTTTCCTTTGGTTCCGTTGCAAAAATTATTTGTTTCTTATTTTTAGCTCTTCGTTTGAATATATTCATGCGAAAACCGTTTACGAGGCGGCGGCTTGATGTAACTGTTTCAACAGTGAGAATTACGGCAAATTTATGATTAATATTCGTCGTGATGTATGTTACAAAGCTGTTCGACGATATTTACGTAATTTAATTGGTTGAATTTATTTTGAACGCATGAACGAATTGGTGAATTAGGAACGGATGATTTTATTAAAGGTATTGATTTTCCAACGCTTTCTCTTTCAAATTAAACAATTTTTTCGCGTTTTTAGTAATGTAAAAAAATAAACGAGAGTAATACGGGCGTGATTCTAATTATACGAACCGGTTTCAAACTTGCTTTCTAATTTTGCATGTGCATATCTTGTAGGCGTGTGTCGAATTAATATTTTTGTGATAATATAAAATATGAGATAAAATTTACTTGAAAATTCTCCATTTTATTGCCGTCTCACTTTCGCGTAATTGTTGCAAATTTTTAATTATATTTATTGCAAAAATCGGATACTAGAAAATACGTGGTCGTTGTAAATAAGCAAAGTTGCTTAACGTGTTAGTTCTTGTGATATAAATTGTTCTACAAACTTTGCTCGCCAATCTTATCAGCCACAGTTTCAGAATAGAGGGCTTTAAAGATTTCAAGGATTAAATTATCCCTGCCCTAACTTTTTTTTTTTTTTTAAGAAAATAATCGACTCAGTCGAAAACTTTTCACAGGGGCATTATTGTATTACCCTTGAAGAATATAAAAGTATTTTTTTCACATAATTTCTTTACAAAATGGCGACGCTACGGCCACATTGCCGAACCTTTGTTTAACTCCTGTTGCCACGTGGTTTGACTTAAAACGAAATCTCAAAAATTTTCATCGTCTACATGCCAATTACTGAAGAAGTGCGTAGAATTTTCTAAAAATATCGAATTTTATAGAAATGGTGAACATACGAAGGAAGAATCGCATTTTTCCCTGAAATTTTAGTATAAAAATGTTAATTGCAAAAAAGTTTCCGATACGTTGTTAAAATCTTATGCACTTCTTTAGGTTATATAGCAAAGAGTAAATTCAGTAGAAAATTTCAAATGAAACCGATGAAAGTTGTCGAAGATTATGAACAATACCGACTTCAAAAATATCGTCCTGAGAAAAGCGCGTTTAAAGTTCGATTACTGATTAACCTCACAGTTACGTGCTTTGTTAAATCGTTTCTAGTGACATATACCCATGAAAATTTTTAATTGAAACTATTTACATTACATTTCTAAAATATGAACTATCAATTCAAGCAAAAAAAAAAGAAATTCGATGTTTTCAAACCTCAGAGATAGTCTAATCCCTTTGAAAGTTGAACACCTCGCGTTAACCATAGTGTTTACCGTTAATCGAATCACCGGAATCGATATTAACCCTAGTACGTTCTTCCGTTTGACTGTGCACTTAAAATCTTTGGGTCTTTTTTGACCCAAAGACCTTATGTCTAACAATTTTCCAAAAGAAGACCGAAATACCTTATGTATAAAAATTTTTGTTACGAACCTAGACGATAAACTTTCAACGTAACGTTAAGAGAGCATAAACTTGATAACAGCAAAAGCTATTTAAAAAAAAAGAAAAAGAAAGCGATGGGTCTGAAAAGACCCGAGGACCGTACTATGGTTAATCATCGCGATAGAGAATATCCAGTCGATAAAGCACGATCCACGGTCGTCTAATTAAACTTGTTATTCACAGGTCGAAACGTCGAATATAGCAATTAGCCGTTCTTCGACGTTGGAACGATCATTGGCAAATCAGCAAGCCGTGAACTACGCAACACAAGGAGCAACGAGAAATGTTACTTTCGTTTTTCGCGGGAAATCGCGTTTGACCGAGCAACGGTTGCAGGAATTGCAGGAAAAGTGTTGCAAGGCTACGGAGCGCAGCCCGTTGGAACGATAAAGCCGACAGGGGAAAATTGAACGAAGTCATTAGAGGCGACAAACAAGTTACGCAGTGTATTAAGAAAAAAGCGTATGGCTCGATATTCAAGAGAGAGAGAGGGAAGAGGAAAACGGAGTTTAGAGTCGATTAGAATGTTCTTGGCGCTGGACAAACAAAAATTCAGCTTCCACGAAGAGGAGTGCATCGATGGATCGTGATTGCGCGAGGGAAAAGTGGTACACGGGAGAGACTTTCACATATGTGTGAATCATTCCGTTTAATTCGTCTCGATTCTTCGTTTCGCGGGGAAAAAGTTGGCGAACCAGGTGAAAAGACCGTGCCATTAAAAACAATGGGAAATTCTGTCGAAGAAAGAGAAAGAGCGGAAAGGATTCTTCAGATCGTACGATGAACAGTCTGCGAACGAGAGAAATTACGAAGAAGATTCGAGCGTCTCGTTCCTTTCACAAGAATTAACGAAAAGATAGAAAATCGCCGATTTTTCAATTCTAGATCATTGTGGTTCTAGACAATTGTTGTCGCGGTATTGAACGGTTCAAACTCGGCTTTATTTACGGGGAAGAATCTGAGAAATAGCGAGCGAGAGCAGGTAGTCAGCAAGAAGCAATTCGTGTAACTGAAAAGGCAAACAGAATCTCCGATAAATTTCTTCGTGATCGATCTGCTGATACAACTATCACCCGAAGATTCGACAAACGCTACAAGGAATTTGATCGTAGATTTTCATCGCGGAAAAAACACTCGAGCAATCTTTATGATCGCAAAAAGCGACGAGATCTCGTTGAAAACATGGCCACGGAGGGAGAAGAGGCTGTGCCAGGGGCGACACCTTGGTACGCGAAGTTCTTCGAATACTGGAGAAACCGAAGTCGAGTGGGTCCAGGCAAGGTGGAGCTTCCGGACTGCGACTTCTTCATCGTCGGACCTCGACGAACCCTGAGGATCCTCAAGCCAACGTTGAAGAGCGGCTGGTACTACGAGAACTCGAACGACAGGCCGGAATCGATCGTCGACAACTTCTTCACTCGCTGGTCCAGAAGACCGCATTCCTCCGGGAACTGTAGATGCTCGTTTCGACAGTCGAAACGACTGAGCACCACCGAGGAGCAAATTATCACCGCGGAGCTGAACAGGATCAGGACGAGCCTCTGCGAGGCTGAGAAGAACGAGCGAGCGATCGAGGAGCTGGAGCAAAGGGTGTCGGTGAATTTGCAGAAACTCCAAGTTGCTGCACCTGAGAACGAAGCAACGAGCGTAGAAGCGAAGAGTGTTTCGACGATCGACGCGAACGACAGGGTCACCGAGGAGAACGACGAACAGACAGACGAGCAAACGATCAAAACTAAAATCGTCAAGGACCTGGAGAAGTACATCAACGTGCTTCTCGAAGAGATACTGGACGACACGGTGAAGCACATCGCTGGCTCGGAGGACACTCTTACCAAGGATGCGAGAAGCTCTAAGAAGAGAAACGACTGTTCGACGTCGTTCGATTGCGACAGAGGCGATACGACGAAGCACGAACCGACGATCGAGCAATCGAACGATGAATCGTTCAACGAGATCAGCTTCTCTTTTCACGCGGCGAAGAACGGGAACGAGTCGGTGGAAAAGAGCGAAGAAACGTTGAGTGATAAGAACGAGGGTTACGTGAATCGCGGTTTCATTGGCTCCACCAACGATCCGGACTCGTTGGATTTCTACCTGAGACGATCGGTCGGCACGGAAGTCCCGTTGGAGCAATTGGACTGCATCGATTCCGGGATAAACAGCGTGGAAACGATCGAGTTCCAGCCGGATCAGGAGCCGAGCTTGGAGCAATCCCTGCTGAAGATCATCGACGAGAAGCTCGGTAGAACGGCCCTGAGGAACAGTTGGGAGGACTTGAGCACAGGTGGCCAGGAGAAGGATGCCCATGGTCAGCCGACAAAGAGAACGGACGAGATGGTGATTCCGAGAAGTGGCGAGCAGCTGAGCAACGATCGAGGCACAGAGAGATCGGAGGTCACCGGGAAGAATGATGCGGAAAGCGGCGAGCCGCAGGATCCGAGCGTTCAAACCGCCGTAGGAATCGATATCTCGACGGATAATCTCGAGAGTGGCGTGCCCGCGGTGGCTCTGAAGGAGGCAGAGGAAACTGTTAACGAGCCCAGTTTCGAGAAACTGCGGCTGGAATTCAAGGGCAACGACAGCGGCTCGTCCTTCAGGGCTAAAAAGGGTGGCAACGCGTTCGCCAAGCTGCGTGAAAAGTTCTGCGCGAGTCCAACCGACGAGCCGGACCGGTGTTCTTTGGAGAAGAGCAGCTGGAACGAGAAAATGGGAACGTTCGACATGAAGAAGGAAGCAGCTACCATTGAGATGGAGGACTATAGGAAGAGTTGGCCTAACATCGAGGAGAACACCGGTTCACCGGGTACCGAGCAGAATCCTCGCGATTTGGTGACGTTTCGAAAGAACCGGAAACCGATGATCGTGTTTCTGCACGGTTTCGGATCCTCCGCGGAGATATTCGAGCATCAACTTCGGTATTTCTCAGCTTTGGGCTATCCGTGCATCGCGCCTGATATGCTAGGTCACGGAATGAGCTCGGCGCCTAATCGATCCAGGGATTATCACTTCAGCAAGCTGCTCAAGGATTTGGACACCGTGCTCTGTTACTATGCGTTCAAGCCTGGCCAAAAGTGCGTCCTAGTAGCACACAATTACGGGTAATTTCTTTTATCTGTTTTGCCATTTCTGCGAGTTTAGAGCTGCTTCTCTTTCCATTTTGCCTTGCCTGCAAATCTGTTAACCCTCTATGGGCCCGTGTAACTTTCAAGTCACATACTAATATGTCGATATTTTATTAAATAATTGAACTCTTTTCCACAAGATGGCGTAAACGCCTTGTTGCACAATGTCTCCTTATTAACCAGTAACTTTCTTGATAACCGTTGTTACTTCAAAGTCGCAATATGTATTCGTTATAATAAAATTGTTCAAACTGCTGAATTCATCGTTATTCTGTATTTATAGGACGATATTTCTTAATTTTACGTTACATACATTTTTTTATAGTCAAGAAAAAAATTCGGCCCATAGAGGGTTAATTGAAGGGGACGTTATTGTGGCATACGTTATGCATGATTAACGTATTTACACGATTCAGTTTTTACAATGGTAATTCGTAAACGGTGGCATTTCTTGCGTACTCGGACGTTCAATTTAATCCTGATTCTATCAAGAATAATTAGAGTGTAGTTGATTGAATATTGATTTAAAAAAGTGTGAGTCATCGGTAATCGCGGTTAACTCTGTCGGTAAACGTATTGCCGTTTAAGTAGTTTTCTGTACATCCTGAGACAAAAAGTGTAATTTGAAATTTTGCTGTACCGTTGGTACGAGTTAGACGATATTAGTGCCAGACGGTATAATCAGTTTCGCGTACACGGTCCTGAATAGCAGACAATTGTCGCGTGCATTCACGTACATTACGAACGAGTTTATTTCATGGCCGGAGACATCGTAACACCTTTAACTAATAAAGCGTTTCACAGTTACCACCGGTAATGAAAAACTTCTTTCCACGTGGATCGTTGTTTAATTTTATCACTTTTTCCAGATTAATTGATTTTTCTTTTTAGCGACTAAATAATTTATATAGTTGAAACATCGTTGCTCGGTCAAGTATTCGATTACGATTTACATATTTATTTGCTATAATTGTGCAGCTTTGTAACGAAACCAAAAATCTTAGAATCATAAACGGAATAACACTTTCACTTCTGAGAATAAGATTTATCAGGCTTGACAGAGATACGTAGAAGTGTTTGTTACTGAAAGAACCAGCGTTTATTATACCTACTACAAAATAATTACCGCAAGGTTTCTTAATTTCATTTCAAATGTACACTACCGGCCAAAAGTTTGGAATCACCGAGTATTGCAATTTACACAAAAGTTTCCAGAAAAGAGTTGGCGACTTTGAGAATTTTTTATCGTTCGAATTAATTGATACGAGATAAATTGATAAAAGCAGAACTGAGATAAACTTCAAATCTATAAAAAATTAGCAGCAGATTTAATATTGATGAAAAGTGGAAGGTGATTCCAAACTTTTGGCCGGTAGTGTATTTCTTTATTCGTTCTCACATTTAATTCGAACTTTCTTCTAGCTAATGTATCCTGTGGCCTTTGTGATATACTGGGTGGGCCACGTAAAACAAGCTACCTAATTTCCATCTTTAGCTATGGCGGTTTTGAGAACATTTTTATGCGCGCAATTCAACTGGTTTCAAAGGGTGAACGAGATGGAAAAAATTTTTTTTATAAATTCAATTTTTTCTTTTTTTTATTTCCAAGGTCATTCATGTCTTTCTACATGAATGTACACTACCGGCCATTTGTTTGGAATCACTGTGCATTGCAAGTTGCACAAAAATTCCCCGAAAATGTTAGCATTTTTTATTATTTTTTATTATTCAAATCAATCGAAATGAGATAAAGTGCTATTGATCTCCACAACATCAATTTCAAATTAATAAAGAATTAGTATATAAGTAATATAAATTGCCAGGTGATTCTAAACTTTCGGCCGGTAGTGTATATATTTTTTTCTACTGTGTAATAACACGAGCTTAAAATAATCATAGACTCTAAAATTTTTAATCAAATATGAAATTTACTTTCATTTTTGCCGATTTAAATTGCGCACAAAAATTTTCTCCTGCCACCGTAATTAGAGAAGATAATTATTACCCTGCCTATTCGCTTAAAACCATTTTTAAAAATTTTAAATTATTACTTGGAAAATGTTCATATCAGCGACAGAACAGCCCAAATAACAATTGCACAAAATAAATAGCATTCACTTCCTCTGTTAACTCCACGTTTTGCAATTTTCCCAATTTCAGTACCAAAGCATATAACGGACACTGAACTTTTCCTAAGTAAAAATGAATTTAATAAATTTTCTTCAACGGTGTTACTCGCTTTGACTTCTGAACGGTTCAAGTAACACGGCAATTCTCACAATTAAGTGTTACATTATTCCGACTCAATTCAAGTAATCGTAAAAGTAACGCATCGAGTACCATTTGTACCATTTCGTTGTTCGGAATCACTCGTAAGTGCAGTCATTTAATTATATCGAACAGCGTGTAATCGCCAAATATCGTTAATTCGAAGCTGCAAGTAATCGTAAAAGTAACGCATCGAGTACCATTTGTACCATTTCGTTGTTCGGGATCACTCGTAAGTGCAGTCATTTAATTATATCGAACAGCGTGTAATCGCCAAATATCGTTAATTTCTCGCGAAATGCGCGACACGATGCACGCTGTCTTGTAGAAACAAGCGTGCCAAACGTACCTTGACATTGGCCATTTTCTGTTTTTTCTGTTTTTAATACGCTTAATCTAACCGAAGAGGAAAACGCGGCTCGGTCCATTGTTCATTACCATTATAGAATTATTTGACCGTGACTAGTAGAAACTTGGCCGTAATCGCGTAACTTATCTTCGGCCGTTTAAAAGCATCTGGTGTATCGTAATTGCAAGGTACACGCGAGTCTGTGTACCTTATCGGATATCTGAAGATTACAAATTCCTTGACGTTTGAATCGTTGAACATCCGAGCACGATCAGCTGGACGCGTTTAGCCGACAAAACGGCTAATGGGTGAACCTGAACAAGCATTTAATCCGCGTGCCTCCCGTTCTTCAGATTTACCGCAGCGATCAGATCTTTTTTTTTTTTTTTTTTTTTTTCTTTTTTTTCCGTTCCGTACGAATAGACGTTCTAGCTGTTTTCGTGATACGCTCCTCGTATCTTAACCCTTTCGCTGCGGGGAAAGTTTTAGTGCGTCACGCGTGTGACAAAATCTTTCGTATATGGCGTTTTAATTGAAATTTTTCATTTGTAAACAGAAATTTTAATTTTGAGATTTATCGTTTTATTAAATTAAGGTGGAAGTGTGCGAAAATTGAGGATTAACCCTTTCGTTGCGGCAGTAAAGAATCCT